ACTCTCTCCCTCTTCAAGGCTCTTCTCCAGTGCAAAGCGCCCATTTGGCCGTTTCCATCGTTTGGAGACCCTGCGCCTCATCGTTCAGTCGTTCCTTGGATCCCTCTCTAGGGTCTCACTCCACAGTCTTTATTCGTCAGTGTTCTATTTTGGTAACTTGCTGCCTGTTCGATCCACCATCTTGAACTAGCATCTATTTACTACATACGGACGTCTTCGCTCATTGATATTTAATTTACGGTGTGACTTCGCATCTACTCTATTATCGCAACACTCGGACGCGCGCCCCCTCTCGCTACCTCCGAACCCGGCACGATTGTACATCTCACTCATTCGCGCTACAGTTCACACTGGACTGCGTCTAGTTTCAATCAGATTGGTTCGGAGAATCTGGCCCAAGGCTGTTCCTCAGTCATTGGCAATCGAATGATTCCATTTCTATCGCCTTGCGCACCCGCTATTCATTTCCAAGATGAGTCCAGCAAATATTACACTATGGGCCCGAGACACCGCGAGTGATCTCGAGTCGGTTCCAAACACCTTTTCTAGCTGGGACACATGTATGGCTAAATCGTACTGCAAGTGAGTTCCTTCTGAGGGATGTGCGCCCTCCCTTCCCATTTGCGCATGGTCTGGCATGATACTAATTAATTGGCGCAAGGTGGCCGGTCATCGTTGGTATCATCATCGGTTCGGTGGTTCTACTCGCCGTGTTAGGTTGCATCGTCAATTGTCTCTGTTGCGGCTATCAATGCTGCAAGTGCTGCTGTAGCTGTTGCTGTCCGTCAGGCAGGCGCAGGAACAAAACGCCTAAACACTTTGATGACCCTCCGTTCCACCAGCCTCCACCACCAGCTGCAAATCCGGTCTATCAATCGCCACCAGCCCCACCTTCATATCGGGGCGCGCAACAGAGAGCGCCCTCGTTCCGCGGCGGGCAGCAGACTGCGCATTTCGACGCGCCTAAGTCTCCGGCCGCTCATGTCAATGAAGACGCCCTGCCTGAGATGCCTACCTGGGCCGGTGCCGTTGACAAGCATGTTGAAGACCCGAATCATCACGACGACGTCGAAATGGAGCCATTGAATCCCCCGGACCGAAAGCAGGGTGCCGGTACACCTGGTGCCGCTTACTCTGACTATTCACCCAACCCAACCATGGGCGCGGCCGCGGCGGGATACAGAGGATTTGGGCCTACCGATCCGCGTGCACGTCGGTCTCCCGGCCCGGGAGCAGCATTGAATCCCGTTCAAGACCCCTATGGCCGAAGTTCGCCAGGCATGCCTTCCCCTGGGGGAGCCATTGATCCTTATGCGAGAAGATCCCCGGGCCCGGCGGCACTCAGTGCTGCCCAGGATCCATACGGACGACGTTCCCCCGGCCCAGCAGCAGCGCTGGCTGCCACTCACGATCCGTACGGGCGGCGCTCGCCTGGTATGTCACACCAAGCCCCAGCACCTGGCTATAGCGCCGCAGCCCATGATCCCTACGGTCCGCGCTCTCCGGGCCTGACATCGCCTGTCGGCGCACCAGTCCACAACCCTTACGACCAGCAACAATACCAAGACTCGTACGACGACCACTCCTACGGCGCAGGCAATGGCTACCACGCCGTGACCGCACCCTCCCCTGTCGCTGCATACAAGCCGCACACCAATTACAGCCCCGTGCCAATGGCTTTCTCCCCGTCCTCGGAGATGGACCATTCCGCAGCCGCGGCCCCAACACCAGGTTTCCAGCGCCAGCCATCTTTCGGCTCTAGCCAGTATCCCCCAACATACACCTCCCAGCCTCCATACCGCGGCTTCTCTCCCGGTGCTCCTTCTTCGCCCCCTCCTGCTTTCCCGGCTCCTTCGCCTTCAGAGTACACTACCTATAACCCCCACGCCAACACCACCCCCATTCCCGAGTCCGGCAACACCAGACCTCCGAGTCTGTTGCAGAGCGGTAAAAAGCCTACCGTCAATGCTTCTAGCAACTTTTGAGTATGACCCTCGTCGATCGAGGCGGTTTCATGAACAGAACGTTTCTTTTTCTTTCTCTCTCACGTTTTTCTTTTGATACCATTCTCAGGCTGTATTTGGTCTTCTTTCTTCTTACATACTTACGTACCATGATCCCGGGCTAAATTTGGGCTTGAGATTAAAGAGTTTTCCTTTTCTTTCATCATTTCCTTCACTTGGACTCTTTTGCATCGACTAGTTCGATACTCTTGTATGGCAGCCTTTTTGGGACAATTTGCACTTTAGCCTAGCAGAAAATGACCCACCCTTTGACTCATTTTGGTGGAATTGATGATACTCCGAGCTTTGAGAAGTTCTACGTAGTTGATTGGGATATGCTGGGTTTGCACTATGTAGACGTGGTAGGTGAAAGTAACAACAACAACGTATGGCCACTTGACTGGCCTCGCACTGGAACCTATGGATCAGGCGTTGATTCTTGAGGGGATCGTGATCTGGGCCTAGGACTGTTAGGCTGCGATTGGCCGCGCAGGCATCTTGGCACATCGAGCATCCGAGCATAGCCCAACAGGTTTGGCACCGCTAGAATCTTTGTTGGGGGCATTATCAAGAGATATTTCTTGATGTTTTGCATTTCTAACCGGAGCAGCCTGGGAAGACGCGTTAATATGAGGATCTCTTACATGCGTTCCGCGCGGAATCTGTAAGATTTCCGAATTTTGGCTTCAGTTTTGAACTCATTTGTCACATTTCATCGTACTGTACACGAAGAGGAAGCTTTCTAAAGATGCTCCCCGTCGAAAGACTCCTTGATCACCATATCACACATTTGTCATGCGTGAACCTGGGAAAGAAGAAGAAATTTGCTGATCTCAAATTCACTCCTCAATCTCCATTGCGAAATCATGTTTCTTAAAAGCCTCCTTGAAAGCCTCCGCATCCTTCGCCTCCTCGTCGTCCGTCTGCACACAATCTCTCCAGTTAATACGCTCATCTAGATAGAGCACCTTACCCATAACTCGACGACCAAACTGCAGATCAAACCGGTTCTCCGGCAGGATTTTCATAATGATAACATTCTCTTCTCCAGATTCAGTCTTCCAAACGCCTTTGTGCTCAGGTGAAGACCAATTATCGGCTTCGGCTTCGGCTTCACTGCTGGGCGCAGGCGTCCAAATAAAGACTCGGAAATAATCAATCATATGGTGATTGTGGATTTCGTCCGGGTTTGGCACGGTCTTGAACGTCGAATATTCCAGGTTCGAGGCTTCCTTCTTGAATGCCATTTCCACAAGCCGAGAGCGGATCTTCTCCACTGGCATCGGCAGGAATTGCCAATGTGTGTGGATACCGTTCGAGCGGCTGACTTCCCATGTGACAGCACCCAGCTTGCCTCCTGATCGCTCGTTCAACATTTGGTGCAGGGATTCACGATACCGTTGCATCTCGGCGAAGGTCGAGGCTCGGATGGCCGGGTCGAAGATTAGGTCGACGGTCGGGCTGTGTTCGAAGGGGATGATGAGCATATGGCCCGGGAAGCCCAGGGAAGGGTAGAAGTTGGTTGTGGGTAAAGGTCCTTTGGCGGTGGTGACGTAGCTGTCATTGCCGATTGAGGTGATGAGATGGGTGGCGATGTTGGGGTTCGAGAGGCAGAAGAAACAATTCTCTGGGCCTGGCGGAGGGGCGCGTTCTTTGTGTCGGCGCTGGTGTCCCGGATCTCTATCTTTCTCGGAGGGGGCGTATCGCTGGTATGATTCGTTTTGGCTTGGGAGAATTTTGCGCTTGCTTTGCGCCGCCGACCAAGGGCAGATGGTGGAGCCTGTGGGGATGATGTTTGGGAAAGGTGCTGTTGGGTCCAAGGTAAAGGCATAAATAGCATTCTTCGTCGAGCCGAAAGTAGGCAACGAGATAAACCGAGTGAGTTGGTAGACATCCTGACCCTCCTCCGTTGGCATGTGGAAGAAGGGTTCACGCTCGAAGAAAGCACCGTCTGACCGAGAAAAGTGATACCGGGGCTTCAGGGTTGCGCAGACATCAGCAATGCATTGTAATTCAGATGGCACAGTCTCCTTATCCCCAGAGACCTCGCAGCTAGATCCTAGACGGACATCCTTCGGCCATTGATTGGTGATAAGAATGTCTGTTTTGTGAATCCCAAAGAGTGCACGAGCATCGGATTCACTGTATGTCGGCTGGAACTTGCCGCTAGCATTGCTCTCGGGTTTGGATCTACCCTCTGCCTCTCCCATGGTTCCACCGAGAGCGACAATACGGATACCATCTTTTGTCTTCAGGGTTCCTCGCTTTCCCAGGAAGAACAAATTGGGGCACACTTCATCAGTAGCTTCAATCTTTTCGACCACTTGAGGGGGAAGTGGTCGGTTACCAAGGGTGAAGTAGGTTGGGCATGCCACGGTGATGTTCCCCTGTATCAAGGCGGTAATATCTTCGAGCTCGTCTTCAGTCGAGCCATCACCGAAGAGGTCGCCAAGAATGATCGCAAAGGAGAAATCTTGTTTTGACTGCAGCTTGGCTAGCTTGGTGAACACGGGCTGTATCTGACCGTTCAAGCTGCCAATGACAATACTACATATGGATTGGGTTAGTGACTGTAATACATGCAGACCTGAACATACATACCATTTGGGAGCCATTTTTGGGTCTGTCTTGAGGGTAGGTTGAGTTGGTACAGGAAAGGGTTGAAAAAGACCGGTGGAAAGTTGATAAAAAGATGGTGGAAAATAGGAAACAGGAAGACGGGAGACCCCGAAAAGGATGGAATTTTTTTTCAAACACCCAACTGTCCAAAGATGCTACCAGAGATCAACTACATGCGACTAGATGCAGGATAGAACATCTCGGGTTCTCGAAAGCAGGAGCTTGGGCCATCTTATCAGCACGTGACGTACGTAGATATCTGCTTCGGAATAATAAATTCCCGTCCCGAAGAACTTTTTTGTATTCCATGCGGACCAGCCAAAAAAAAAGTGACCAGTACCTTTCTCACGAACAGTGCTGCTCGTCAGACCCGTCAAGATGGTGGGGACAGGCTCAAAACCAAAGCCTGTTAGGCGCCTGAAAACGGGCACCGAAACCACAAAAAACCACCGATTCGAGGGCTTTTCATCACGGATCACCAAGCTCAAAATCGACCCGATCCACCGCGTGCGCCGCGCCAGTTTCGGCGAAGATGAAGACGAAACATCTTCTTATTTCCGAGCAGCCCTCGATCACTGGTTCGAGATGAACCTTTCAGACAACTTTACACAATTCGTACGGCGTGTCAACCCTCTTTCCGAGAGCTTTGCGCAAGTTCTGTATCATGAAGAAAAGATTATGGGTCTATTGGTGGAATTCATCGAGAAGAGAGACCAGCTCTCGATGGAGCCGCTATTGAGCTTGCTTGCGCAATTCGCTCGGGATCTGGGCGTCAAGTTCGAAAAACATTTCGCTACGGCGGTGACACTGGTGTCGTCCGTTGCGGCAACACATCCGGATATTGAGGTCGTTGAATGGAGTTTTACCTGTCTTGCATGGATCTTCAAATTCCTTTCTCGTCTGTTGGTACCGGACCTGCGACAGCTGCTGAGTATCATGACTCCATATCTCGGAAAAGAACGACAAAAGCCATTTGTGGCGAGGTTCGCCGCTGAGTCGATGTCGTTCCTTATCAGAAAGGCCGGCCTTGTTTATTACAAAAACAAAGCACCCCTCGAGACTGCCGTCTCATTCCTCTTTGACGATATCTCGAAAGCCGCCGACGATAACAAGGATACTGAGAACTACAGGGAAGGTCTGATGACGATGTTCTCTGATGCTATCAGAGGAGTCAACAACGGGCTTCACTCCAATGGCATGGATATCCTCAATTGTGTTCTAAGTCAGATCCCGCCGACTAGTAAGAATCACAATGATCCTGCAGAAGTTATATTTGGTCTGGTCGTCAGTCTTGTCCACGCCACGACTCCCGATACCTTCGGACCCATCCTCGACACGGCCAAGGCTTATATCGAAGATCGCTCAAAATCAACCCTGAATCCCAACCTCTCAGAGTGCTGCCGTATAATATTCTTGCTTGTGACAACTCGCAAGGGTGTCAGAATCCAAAACTGGAAGATCGTTCATCAGATCCACGTGTCCCTGCTTCAGCAGGTGTCGAAGTCTGATGTATCATCAGCAACGATATCACAGATCCTTACAAGCGTCGCATACGCCTTTCAGATGTCCCCCATGGACGAGTTGCTACCTTTCCTTCGCCCTATTATGGACCTGGTGTCCACAGGCCCGCTTTCGAAATATTTCCTATTCTTCTGCGCAACATTCTCAGAGTGGGGATCAGAGCGATTCCAGAGCTTGCTTCTTTCGCCTTTCCAGAAGTTTATCAACTCATCATGGCAAAAGTCAGAGTGGGAGACTTGTTTCACCCTGCTACGCCTGCATGAGGCTGGATGCATCACCTCCGAGACCTCGCAACCTGGCTATATTTCCTGCCCAGATGCCTTCAAATCTCGCATCACTGATTCATTGGAGTACCCCACAAAAGATGAAGCATTCTTGAATGCGCTGGTGAAGCTCCCAGCCGCCATCTCTTTGTTTGCAGATTCTGCTACAATGTCCAAGATGGTTTCTAAGCTGCATGGTAACCTCCTATCAGCGTTCCAAGATGGTGCAGCCGAAGGCAATAACGCCCAGACGAAGGGCCTGGTGTTTTTCCTTGGTCAAGGATTCAAGACATATGTCGAACTCGCTAACAAAGTTGGAGAGCTGGACTCGAGTCTCTTGAAACCGATCATCGCCACTGCTACAAAATTCTCCCGCCTGCCAGTCTTTTTGGAGGGTGCCCTTGCTTTCATATCCTCTCTCCCAGAGTCCGCGGACCTTGAACATCCCACCCTGGAAGACTTTGCCCAAGACTTAATTGTGAATCTGGCAAGCCCGTCGCACAGGCTGAGGCTGGTATCTCTTCAGATTCTACGGGAATTAATTGTTCGCATTGCCAAAGACGACCCCTCTCCCGTGGAATTGGCCATCGAAGTCGAAGAAAGCCCGCTGACAATGGACTCTGTGAGAACCATCTCTATGCATATCCGCAAACTTGCAATTCTCTACCCCCAAATTGCTCACCGCAGATGGATGGCCACCCTGGTCCCTTACTTTTGTTTCGGATTGTTCTCCAAGAAGTTGGCCCCATTGTGGGATGACTCTGCTGCTGCATTGAAAACTATTAGTGAAAATCCCCAGGGAGAGAAGATCGTGTCCGATTTGTCCATCCAGTGGCTGTCAGAACGGGATGCCGAAGCGCCCAGCGACGCTCCAACAGAAGACGATGAAAGCTCTTTCGTCAAGAGCCACTTCAAGTGTTACAATGTTGCGAAGGTCGAAAAAATACTCGCCGCAAATACCAAGAGCACAGAGGATCCCTATCATGTCCTATCTCAACAATTCAAACAGGACCACACAGTCGCAGACATCCTTCCCGCTTGTCCGCGAACCCATGCACTTCGTGTCTTGAACGCTGCACCGGGCGTTGCTGAGAAACGCTCGCGCCAGATTGTGCCATTGTTCTTGTCCTGGGCATTGCGTGAGGATCAAGATGACGCGCCCCCAACTGGCGAGGCGAAGATCGAAGATGCTGAGATTGGTGATGCTGAGACTGGTGATGCGCAAGTGCGTTGGGGATTCCGGGATCGATTGTCCATGCTTGCTTTGTTCGCGCGGTTCCTCAACCCCATTGTCTTGTTTAAAGCACCCGAGGTCCATGCGGCAGTTCTGGGACTCCTCTGCCATGGTAACTCCGACTTGCAGAAACATGCGCTCAAAGTCCTTTTCACGTGGAAAGACCCAAATGTGCGCCCATATCAGGAAAACTTACTTAATCTCTTGGATGAGGCCAGATTCAAGGATGAGCTTGCTGTGTTCGTGCATGTCGGCGACGAAGAAAGTCTAATTCAACAAGAGCACCGCGCTGTTCTCCTCCCCGTGGTCCTTCGACTACTCTATGGTCGAATGATCTCTAAGGCTGGTTCGGCCGCCGCTGGCCAAGCCGGTAGACGAAAGACCATTCTTCGAACTATCTCGCACCTCTCAGAGCATGACTTTGGACTTTTCATGCAGCTCTCCTTTGGTCCTCTTGCAAACGTGCATGTTGTCAAAGCCAACGATGAGTGCGATCCGACTGCCTTCCAGGAAGAGTTGACAAGCCCAAGAAGACAGCTGGGTCTGCTTAAGCTGATTGATACTGTCTTTGAGACCCTTCAAACCCGTATGACTGAATTTGCATCGCAGACGATGGATGTGGTTGTCTACTGTTTGGTGCGAGCATGTCGGGCGATTTACAACGAGGGTAGCGATCGCCCAGATGAACGCCTCTTGCCTGTGCTCCACAATATTCGTTCAGCGTGTATTCGCTGTCTCAATCTGGTCTTCTCGATTGTCCCGAACCAGGATTGGACTCCCTACGTCCGTATCATCTTCAAGGAGATGATCGACAGCAGACTGGATCAGTTCCCTATTGAGACAGCACAGGGTGTTTCAGGCCTTCTACGATTGTTCTCCACCTGGGCCGCTGCCCCAAGGTCAACGTTCTACTTGGTGCAACACAATGAGAAGGTCTTGACTAAGGTGATTGACTGCCTCGCGGTCGAGTCTGCCCGCGATGAAGTCAAGAACTTTATCCTGGATGAGGTTCTCATACCGTTGGTTGAGCAGTCTACGGGTAAAAAGTTGCAGGAAACCGAAGAGATGCCTGACTTCCCAGCCGAGCAAATTAAATCTGAAGTCCTCTCTCCCTACTTGGAGCACGCTCTCTTCCATCTCGGTCGTCTTCTCAAGAGAGGCCCCTCGAAGCCCGTTCTTTACTCCGGAGTCAATGCCCTTTCCCTGATCGCCCCCTGCGTCGAATCTTCCAAAGAGACCGCTAGTCTTGTCGGAATTACGACATATATGCTTCGTCAGCCCGCGGATCGTGTCAGCCCCCGAACCAAGTCTGGTTTGTTAAAGATTCTCGAACACTTTTTGCCCTTGTGGGACCCCAAGGAAGATGCCGAGCTTGCCCAACAAGTGTTTGATGCGGTGTGCTCGATGTTCGACTACTTCAAGGATGACGCGAACAGAGAAGTATTGGCCCGGGTTTTTGGTGCTCTTGCTACGCAGGACGAGAACCTGAAGATTGTTGCCGACTTGTGTGCAGATCTAAACTCTCGCTCAACTAAAAGACTTGAACCCGATTATGCGAGACGTTTGCAGGCTTTCAGAATAGTCAGCGACGAACTGTCTCAGACTTTGAGCGCGAGGCAGTGGAAGCCTCTTCTCTACAACATGCTTTTCCATTTGAGGGATGAAGATGAGCTTGCTATCCGATCCAGCGCCTCCTTTGGTCTCAGACGATTCATCGACAGAGCGTCCACGGAACCAGACGTAGACTTTGAGGCACTTATTAATGATGTTCTGTTCCCCTCTTTGCAATACGGCATCCGTCAGAAGTCTGAACTTATTCGCTCCGAGGTCGTCGCTGTCATTGGTTACTTCGTCAAACTCAACCCCACCAGACCATCTGTGCAGGACATGCACGTTCTTCTCGTCGGTGATGATGAGGAAGCCTCTTTCTTCACCAACATTCTCCACATCCAACAGCACCGCCGGCAACGTGCATTGCGACGTCTGGCTGGAGACGCAGCTCAAGGCAGCATTCAGGCTACGAATCTGGGCACCATTTTCATTCCCCTCATTGAGCATTTCATCTTCGAGGATGCTGCTGATGAAAATGCCCATAACCTGATTGCCGAAGGTGTTGCGACCCTTGGCGTTCTCTCAGAATGGTTGGAATGGGGTCAATTCCGAGCAAACTTCCGGAGATACCGCAGCTACATGACAAGCAAGCCTGAAAAGGAGAAGAACATTCTCAGACTGCTGGGCCGCATGTCCGATGCGCTGTCTAGCGCAATGAACCGGAAGAAGGGGACAGAGAACGAGACTGATGGTGAAGTTGACAAGATGGATGTTGTCGAGCAGCCCATGTGCACGCTCGCCAAGAGTGTTCCTTCTCTTGCGAAGGTTTCAACGGAATTGACCACAAACTTCATTCCTTTCCTGACCAAGTATATCCACCACAAGCAGGAGAAGGAGATGAGTATGCGTCTGCCAGCGTCAATTACGACGGTCAAGCTTCTCAAGATTCTCCCCGAGGAAGAACTGGCTATTCGTCTCCCGCCGGTCCTGCTGGATGTCTGCACAACCCTCAAGAGTAAAGCACAGGATTCTCGTGACACTGCACGCAAAACACTCAATGAGCTCGCTCTCCTTTTGGGTCCTGTTTATTTCGGCTACATCCTCAAGGAACTTCGTAACGTTCTCGCACGAGGCTACCAGCTTCACGTTCTCTCATTCACCGTTCATTCCATGCTTGTGACCACCACTGATCACTTTAAGCAAGGAGATTTGGATTACTGTTTGAAAGAACTGGTTGCGGTCGTGATGGATGATACTTTTGGCACAGTCGGCCAAGAAAAGGACGCCGAAGGATACACCAGCAAAATGCAGGAGGTTAAGAGCAGCAAGAGCTACGACTCTATGGAGCTTCTTGCTAAGGTCTCAACTATCAGCCAATTGTCAAACCTGGTTAGGCCTCTGCAGGCACTCCTACGCGAAAAGCTCAATTCGAAGCTCGTCAACAAGCTTGATGAGCTTATGCGAAGAATCGGCATCGGTCTTCTGAGAAACCCTGATGCCGAAAGCCGCGATATGTTGGTCTTCTGCTACGAGGTCATCAAAGAGGCCTATCGGGATAATGCCCCAGATGCGGGCCCAGCTGCGCCCAAGACCAGGTACGAGGAGCGGTTCTTGATCCGATTGCAAGGAGCCAAACGGGGCGAGCACAGGGGTACGACATCTTCTCATGTTTACAAGTTGACCCGGTTCTCGCTGGATGTGCTTCGTGCTATCCTCAACAAGTTCAATTCGTTGTTGACAGCTTCTAACTTGTCGGGCTTCATTCCCATTATTGGTGATGCCCTTGTTCAGTCTCAGGAAGAAGTGAAGGTTTCTGCTCTCCGTTTGCTCTCCACGATCATCAAGCTTCCGCTGCCAGAAATCGACGAGAATTCACACGTCTATTTCACCGAAGCAGTCAAACTTGTCAAGGAGTCTCCTAGCACCAACTCCGAAGCGGCACAGGCGTCCCTGAAGTTGATTTCTTCCATGCTACGTGAACGAATGGACACCAAGCTCCGTGACGGACATCTTGCATACTTGCTCAAGCGTCTGGCCTCCGACATTGAGGAGCCAGATCGCCAAGGTGTGACTTTCAACTTCGTCCGCGCAGTCATGTCCCGGAAGCTCGTCGTTCCTGAGATGTATGAGCTTATGGACAACGTCGCGACCATGATGGTGACAAACCAGACCCGGTCTGCCCGGGATCTTGCCCGCGGTACCTACGTCCATTTCCTGATCGAGTACCCGCAGGCAAAGAGTCGCTGGACCAAACAGCTCGCTTTCTTCGCAAAGAACCTGGATTACAAGCATCAGTCGGGACGGCAGTCTGTTATGGAGGCGATGCACGCACTCCTTTCAAAGACCGGCCCAGAATTGGCACAGGATATCATCAGCACCTTCTTCCTGCCTATCGTGCTTGCTATGGCGAACGACGAGTCACCGGAATGCCGCGAGTTGGCGGGTACATTGCTAGGAGAGTTCTTCAACCGTGCGGATCGGGAGCAGATGAAGACTATCCTTACTCCCCTTCGGTCGTGGTTGGAGCAGACCAACAACATGGCTCTATGCAGTATTGGATTGCAGGCCATGCGGATCTACTTCGAGGCCGAGCAGACCGAGAAGGATAAACAGGCTCGTTTCGTCATTGAAATCCTCCCCGGCTTGATGCAGCCTGTTCTTGATGACCATGAGAATGGCAATTGGGAAGCTCTTTACTATGCCCTGCAACTTTTCACAAAGCTTTGCAAGACGGCTTCCACGCTTGCTCTGAGCCCGGAATGCGCTTCTATCTGGACTTCCGTCCAAGAGTGTTTGTTCTTCCCCCACACATGGGTCAAGACCTGTGCTGCAAACCTTGTAGGCTTGTGGATGGCTGATCTGGCCAAGACAAATTCCACTGATGGTTACGCTTCCCTTCCCTTGACTGGAAGTTCCGGTCTCGCCATGGACAAGCCGGCCATGCTGCAGCTTCTTCGTGCCAGTCTCCGAAGTTTGCGCACCCCGGGCATTGCCGAGGAACTTGCTATGCAGAGTGTACGCAATACTGTCTTCCTTGGACGTTGCTGTTCCCAAAACGGACTCGAACTTCCAAAGCTGGCAGGCGAAGATGTTGAATCCGAAGATGAGGACGAGGATGAGGATGCCGGCAGTGAAGCTGAAGCAGAGGCAAAGGAGGAAACTAAGGTGGAATACAATAGATCTGCCATCCACTACATCTTTAAGCAGGTCTCCTCCCTTTTGCGGCGGGAAACTATCTCCGGCCGAGCAAACGCTCTCATCCCCAAGACAGCCTCTATCACACTCCTTGCCGCGCTCATCCGCCACATCGAGGTTGAGCAGATCCGTCCTTCTCTGCGCGTCATTCTCATTCCCCTCCAGCATCTGACGGATCCATCCATCCCGGCGCCACGCTCCTCGGATGAGGCCTTCCAGAACACGTACAAGTCTCTCGTCTCCAACTGCCACGAGGTCTTGGATCTTCTCCAGAAGAAACTCGGCACCACCGAGTATGTGGAGCAGATTTCTAGGGTTCAGGCGGCTATCAAGGAACGTCGTGAAGGACGACGGGCGAAGCGTCGCATCGACGCTGTTGCTGACCCTGAGAAGCACGGACGTGATAAGATGAAGAAGAACGAGCGGAAGAGAGACAAGCGCCGTGAGAAGGGCTTGGAGCACCGTGGAAAGAGACGCGGTTGGTAGAAGATTTGGCATTTATTTGCATGTCTCATGGCATGTCCCATGAAATGGTGTTATTGGCATACAAAAAAATGGGCGTTTTGGTGGAATGGATTACTATATTATACTTGCATTGTATATACCTTTTCAGAACAATTTGATTTCTTCTGTACAAATCTCGTGTTTTCTCAATATATGTAGACTTTTTGAAGATCGAGTTATCCTTGAAATTAAGGGAGTTGACTGAGAATCCAGTCAAAGTGATTTCTAATGTACAAAGTCTCCAATATATCCTTTTTCTCGTCGATGCTTGGATCCTGCCATGCTGAGAGTAGAGAGTCTTTCATCGCCATAATATACACGCCTTTCCAACAAGACAAACAAAACACCGGATATGCACCGAATCCACCAAATCCACCAAGAACCCATGCAGGAACCTCACTTCAAATGAACTCAAGTCGACTTATCATCATCGCGTGCTCCCAGTATCTCCTTACCCTCTAGGTCATAACTCTTCACAGACCCATCTTCCCAGAATTCCAGGTTGCCCTCTGTATGGCCGTGGGTCAATGTCTGACCCTTCTCCTTCAAAAGATCTTCCAAGGTTGTCTTCTTTTCAAAGAAGACACCAAGGTGATCACTCATGACATGGCGCGAGTCACATGAAGGACATTGGATAAGGACAGTTCCACGGTGGTAGCCTTGTTTGGACATGCGGTGCGCAGAGCGATGACCGCACGGCTTGCAGGTGAATGTAATGCGGTAGGCTTCCTCATCCTTGCGACGCTCCTGGTTCTGTGCTTCCCATTCTGCCTCTTGCTCCGTCTGGCTCTTGGGTGATTCGGTGAGAGGGCGAGGAGCGCGGGAGTTGTATCGGAGTTGGGTCTGGGCGAGTATGCGCTGCGAGCGAGGGAGAAGAGATGATGGGCGAGCTGAGTGTAGAGAGAGGGATCGTGTTGAGAGGAAGCGTGAGGATTGTGTGCGCGCAACAGTAGTGTATGACTGTGCTTGCGACACAAGGGCATTCAATGGGCGGAGACCCGAGGTGAAAAGGCGCATGGTGATAAGTGTGTGTGAAGGTATTTAGAAGCTGATTGAGAAAGAATTTCAAGAAGTTCAAAGATAGTAGAGATATCTGCAACTCAAAGAGAAACTATTCAGGAAAGCCTCAGACAAAACTCGAAAGGAAAAAAAAAGACACTGGTGAAATGACGATGCTCGGTCAGCGACAGACGGAACTTTAGAATTTCCGGGGTTGACCTCCGCGGAGAGAAGAGCGCAGTTCTCCTTCACCTTTTTTTTTCTTGAGTTTTCTATTTACTCACTTTCTCTTGATTTTACTGTGGCCTTCAAGATGGCAGCAATGAGGGCTCGTCATAAGATTCGAGCTCCCCGAAGGGTTCGTTGACACCGCGGGGTCAAAACTATGAAGCTATCCACTAACTATACTTCTAGGGAGTCTCCCATGCCAATACCGAAGATTTCGATTCTATATGGACAGTCCTCTCATCATCATTGACTGAAATCAATACTAAAAATGCCTCAACCCTGGCATTCGAAGAGATCTACCGGCATGCCTACAAGATCGTGTTGATGATGCGGGCACCTGATCTTTACGAGCAAGTCAAACAACTGGAGCAGGACTGGCTGAAAACGAACGTCCGAACACTCATTGTCGATTCAATTTCTTCGAGCCTCGTGCGTGCGCAAAAATCCGCCGATGCGCAGGACCAGTCGAGTGAGAGGAGGAGGAGGCGGGGGAGAAGTTCCTCACTGTCCTAAAGGATGCTTGGGAAGATCATCAATTGGGCATGGGCATGGTTACCGATGTTCTGATGTACATGGTAAGTTTCTTACGCTCTAAGGTATTATTACAATGCTCTAACTTCTTACGCAGGACCGTATGGTAGCAAGCCGTACTCACCCACCCATCTACGTGGCCTGCATGGCTCTATTCCGAGACCATATCCTGCGAGCTCCCGTCCGTGCCGGCTCTTCTTTGACTGTTATGGATGTGCTCGAATCCACCATACTCTTCATGATCCAACTGGAACGTTCTGGGCACATTATTGAGCGGCCGCTCATTCGGCATTGCATCCAAATGCTGGAGGGCCTCTACGAAACTGCTACAGAGGAGGAGAGCTCAAAGCTTTATCTAACTGAGTTTGAACCAGCCTTTCTCGAAACGAGTAAGGACTTCTACCAGGCAGAAGGGCAACGGCTGTTGGAAATGGGAGATGCTGCCACGTTTTGCCGACTCGCAACCCAGCGGATCGCTGAAGAGGAGGAGCGGTGCCGTTATGTGTTGTCGGTCACGACGGAGCCAAAGGTCCTTGAGTTGCTTGACGAGCAGCTCATTCGGAACAATATTGACGAAGTCGTCAATCTCGAGGGAACCGGTGTCCGGCGCATGCTAGATCACGATCAGTTGGAGGGGTTACGGAATGTTTACATGCTCAATAAAAGAGTTGACAAAAAGAAGCAAGCTTTGACGAACATGGTCAACAAGCGGATTGTGGAAATGGGAAAAGAAATCAATGCTTCGTCTATACTCTTACCACAAGCCCCAGCCCCATCGGCAGAGAAAGATGGTGAAAAAGAGAAAAAGCCCGAGAAGGGGAAAGACAAAGAAAAGCCTCAGAATCAACAAACTATGTCAGCAATCCGCTGGGTCGATGACATTCTCGGCCTCAAGCGGAAATTTGATGACATTTGGGAGAATGCCTTCGCCTCCGACCAGGGCATGCAGGGCTCAATTGGGGCCAGCTTCGCCAACTTCATCAACATAAACTCACGAAACTCCGAGTACCTGTCTCTCTTCTTTGATGAAAACTTGAAGAAGGGGATTAAGGGAAAGACAGAAAGCGAGGTAGACGTTCTCCTGGACAACGGTATCACACTGTTGCGCTACATCAAGGACAAGGATCTATTTGAGACCTATTATAAAAAACATCTATCACGCCGTCTTTTGATGAAACGGTCTGTCAGCATGGATGCAGAGAGACAGATGATTTCCAAGATGAAGTTGGAGGTCGGTAACCAGTTTACTCAACGCATTGAGTCCATGTTCAAGGATATGACCATCTCGGAAGACCTTACCACCAATTACAAGGAGCATATTGCGCGCAGTGGTGATCCGGACCAGAAACCCGTGGACCTGGAGATCAACGTTCTCACCAGTACCATGTGGCCGATGGAAATAATGGCAAGCAAAGAGGGAATGGTCCAATTGCCTTGCATTTTCCCACGGGAGATTGATACACTGAAGCAAAGCTTTGAGAGGTTTTATCTCGACAAGCACAGTGGCCGCAAACTGTCGTGGCAAGCTAGCATGGGCACTGGCGATCTTCGAGCCACTTTTTTACGCTCCAATGGCAAAGTCCAGCGCTATGAACTCAACGTGTCAACATACGCCATGGTCATCCTGCTATTATTCAACGACATCCCAGACGGCGAAGCTCTCACATACGACGAAATCAAAACTCGCACACGAATTCAAGACCACGACCTAATCCGCAACTTGCAATCGCTCGCGGTTGCCCCAAAGACTCGAGTTCTAAAGAAGGATCCTATGAGCAAGGACGTGAAGCCCACGGACCGCTTCCTTTTCAACCATGATTTCCACAGCCCCTTTGTGAAAGTGCGTATCGGAGTTGTCAGCGGCGGTGCGAACAAAGTTGAGAACCAAGATCAACGCAAGGTCACTGAAAAGAAGATGAACGACGAGCGCAACGGTACCATCGAAGCTGCCATCGTCCGCATTATGAAGTATGTCTCTTTCTCCATATAACCCTCGTATATCATCTGACGAACTAACCTTTGGCAGACAACGCAAAACGCTTACTCATTCTCAACTAATGACCGAGACCCTTTCGCAACTCTCCGCTCGCTTTGTTCCAGACGTGAACATGATCAAGCGTCGCATTGAGAGTCTGATTGACCGCGAATACCTGGAGCGAGTCTCTGAAGAGCCACCCACCTACGGGTATGTCGCATAAAGTCAGACCATATCATTGATCGTGGCATCTGCCTTCTGGTCTATTCATTTGCTCTTGTTTGTTATGATTTTATGATCTGGGGTGTCCTCGCATCTCGGTGTTTGTGTGTTTGCTTTCCAGGTTGTGCTTGCGTTTCTCTGAGCTTAGCGATTGGCGTCTTTTAAGGGATTGAAGGAAATGAAATATTTATAGAAAACCATCTGATTTGATGTTTGGTGTTTACTGCCTTTGGCAGGACATGCATAGTATCTCTCAACTCTCTACATCGTAGAAGTCCCAAACATAGAAATAAGAAAATATATCATAAAATATGTTGTAAACATCCAAATAACGCCACTCCGCTATGATGAAGTCGAATATCAAACCCCCAAATCCAAAAAGATTCAAAATAATCACAATAATTCCACCTCCCCTCTCCCCCAAGCTCCCTTCACCCCTTCCCATCTCACAACCCAAACATCCCCCATCCGCATCGTAACCCCCGTCTCATATTGCTCCTCCTCCCCGCCAACAACAACAGGAACCTCCGCCCCAAGACACCGAACAAAAACAACCTCCTTCAACTCCGGCCCCTGGATCATACTCGTTCCACCGGCATTATCATCCAACCGCCTCAGCTGCCGCGGGAACGCCCCCATAAACGACCCCGCATAGTGGCCCGCCAGGAGCGTCTGGTGTGCATGCAGGAACGACGATTCCGGCTCCGACAGCGGCGTCAGATCCGTCAGTTCTGATATATCCGGCACGGAGTCCTCGGGCTGTTGGTTCGGGTTCTGCGAGGAAGCGGTTGATTGTGTTTGCGATGCGAGGGGGTTTTTGTTGCGCGAGGCGAGCAGGACTAGGTAGTGCATGCTGTATTTTGTTATTTTAGCTAGTCGGGCTCGCAAAAGACTGCGCACTATGTATTGGCTGCGGGCGAGGTCGGTTTGGAGGATTGAGAGGCGGAGGTTGAGATTGGGGTTGTGCGTGTTTGCGGTTGTTGGGAGGGTTGTTTCTGACGACGCGGCTAGATCTTCGATTGTTTCAATCTGTAGGTGCCGGATTATATATTAGCAATATGTTTTAGGGAGCATTGCTGTGTAGCTGCTATGTAGGTGCTGTGTACCTGTATCCGCACGCGGTCCATTATCCGCTCCATCAGTGGCGCCGGCCACGGCAGTACCTCCGACACGGCGCGTTCGGCTACCCAGAAGCGCGTGAGCAGCTGGTGATCCAGAGCTGCAGACTCCGGGCTGGCACCTGGACCGCGGTCCACCGACGCGAGAATGTCGTCGATATCCATGGGCTTGGAGGTTGTCGCATTGAGGAAAATGCAGGGCGGAGCGCGATATAGGGCGGAGATGGGGTGCCTGGGGCACTAATCAGCCCGCTCTATCAAGATATCAATATAAATACATGTTCATGTATCTGCAAGGCTGGTTTACAGTCGATAATTGAGTTGTTGAATTGGCGAGTTCAACTAGCTCGATCTCAAAGCATTTGCCAATTGGACCTTTTGTTCTGAAACTGGGTGATACTGGGTGATCGACAACTTGTACGATATCCCAGTGAATCAATTAGAGCCAGCCAACTTTGAAAGCGCAATTCTAATCTGTATCCTTTTATTCAAGCCCATTTGGCCGTTCAAGATATATCATTAGAGAGAACGATGTACGAGAGAACTCAGAATTTCATAAACCGCAAGTCCCATTCTTTCAGGGATCTAAATGTGACATGAAAGACATGAGGAAGCATTAAGTAGTAAAAGAAAGAAAAAAACATCCACCCATGCGGGTATGCGATCAAATAAAAAACAAGGCCATATTTCGCAGTTGACAACGCCGTAAACCATTAACTTCCGGCACATTTATCGAGAGACATGCAATATCGGAAGACCTTTAAAGCCATGTTCATTAAGCTTTGGAAAGATGCGCATGAGTCTAGTCCTTGCGGCCATTGGGTGGCGGGCCAGGAGGCGGCGCATATCCGCTGGCACCGTACGCATTCGGAGGCTGCTGCAACTCGATTCCTTGCTGCTGTGGTGGTGCGTTTTGCGCGCCAAAGTAGCCGTGGTGCTGAGGGTTCGGGCTGTATTGAGGGGGCGCGTTTTGTTGGTAGTAAGGGTCGCCGTAGGGGGGTTGCTGGTAGATGGGTTGGTTTGGCGGAGGAGGTCCCGGGGGAGGAGCCATCCACCCAGTTCCTGTGAGAGGGCGTTGGCCATGAGTTCGGCGGCGTCGTGCGTTGAAGCATCTGGAACAAGGCTTGTTAGGATCGAGAGATATCGCACGGAAGAGAAGGGGGTGTAGAACTCACGCGAAACTGAAGAAAAGGAGGAAGGCTACACCGACGATTACGGCGAACGCTACCCAGCGACCCCAAGAGTCCCAGGTAGAATAGCAGTCATTACCCCCATAGTAAGAGCTGTAAGGGATCAGTAAGATGTCTCTTGAGGGGTCATCATAGTACTCACCAGTATCGAGGGTATAGGACTGGCATGAGGGGCTAATTATTTGACAGAAGAGATGTGAAAATCCGAAATCTAGAGAGAGAAGAATGCAATCTCAAGGATGTGAGATGTTCGACGTCAACGGGGGCTGGTGGGAGCGGTGGGTCCTTGGCACTTTAGGCTGCAGTTTCGTGCTGAGAAGGTACTGTGACTTGTCTGGCCACTTTATTTTGTATGGTGATGTTGGTATCAGTACTTAATACTTTGGAAGGAAATTGTGCTTAGATGAAAGGAAATTAATAAGAATAGAAGAGGAACATCATTCCAATATCATTCCAATATTATAGAAAAAAGAAAACAAAAGACCTTGGAAGTGAAAGAGCAGGGTGGCGCAGTTGGGGGGCGCAGGGCTGACGGAGACACACGACGAATTGGGGGACCTCGGGACAGACCTCGGTATATACTATTATAGGTTATATTCTTATATTCTTATATTCATATATTAAATATTGAATATGCACAGGGCTGTGCATATTCAGGTTAATTCTCTATAATTCTCTATAATTCTACATCTCTATTAAGTGATGATGTGCTTCCTCAACCTTAAGCACAGTCAACCAATCTAGATCGATGCTCCAATGCAATCTGTATAATAACAAAGTCAGCAATTATTAACATACAAATCCCTTTTATTAATTTTATTAACTAACCGGTGGAATCGATGGCGGCACAGCCGGCAACGCAGTGATACTCGACCCGAGTTCACTTTTCAAGTCTAAACTCGCCTCTCTCTCAGCCACCCCGTTAGCGTCCTCATGGGTCATCTGCACCGATAGAACATGGATCCGGGGTGACATGTCAGGTTTCGTTTTGAATGAGTATGTAGGTAATACGTCGAATGTCTCCTGTACCCAGGACATCTGCCTGTCCAGGTCCGGCCCGGAGAGGCTTGTGTCGTTGCCCTTATTTTCTAGGGTAGAAGACTTGGTTCGGAAAATGCTGCTGGGCCAACCTTTCGTCTTGGTGATCGGGAGTGTACAGCAAGCGTTCTTGGATACGCTATCCCAGGCTTCGATCACGCGGTCCGTCTTGAGGAACTGGGATATCTGTTCCTTCATGGTCTCTCCGCCGTTGAGTTTGTTGTGGGCCTCCTGTCGTGCTTGTGTGGGTGATTGGACTGTGGATTGTCCGGTTCGAGGGCGTGGGGTGGTGCAGAATGCCCGGAGTTGTTCTATGGAGATGTTGCGTGAGAGTCGTGAGGGTTGTGAAGGTGCTGTTTTCGGTCGACCTTGGGCCAAGCCGATTTTCTCGCTGGCAGATCGTTTGGGTAGGAAGGGCTTGGAGAGCTTGCGTTTAAGCCTTCCGGATGTCGATGGAAGGGGAGGTGGTGCTTCCTTGGCGCCTGCGCCTGCATCGGCTTCTGCTATAAGAGCACTGCATGATTTGGCCCGACTCATGATCCTGCGCCGAATGCCATCGCTCGGGATGGGTAGGTCCGCAGGGGTGTGGGTTTGATCTTTAACTGTGGCAGGACTCTCAAACTGCGTGGAAGCCGTTGGCGTCCTCTTTGGCTTCGATAATGGATCGCGAGGAAGAGGTTTTTCTGATGTGGGCCGTTCTTTATCAAAGAGTCTTTGTTTGACTGACTTGTTTCGATTTGCCTTGCTGGTCTGTTTAATAAACGATCGCTGTGATAGTTAGCGCTGGAAACTAAAAACCAACCAAGGGCCTGTCAACTTACCACATCCTTTCTACTCGCTACTCCCACTCGTCGTTGCATTTCTGTAGTCGCCAAGCCAAGTTGGGCCAGTGCCTTTTGAAGAGCAGTGCCCCGTCGACGAAGTTTGGAGATAGCGACAATCCAACCCTCCATATTGTCCATCATGGCCTGATGAAAAGCCTTGAGGCTCTCGGACTTGAAGCAATCTTCGTCTGTGAGTTTCCGGAAGTGGAACCACAGTGCACCCATGGCCTCCTTTGCCTTTTGTAGGTCTTTGAGCGAGTCTGTGATGGCAAGGGTGAATCTCTCAATGGAATGTTCGATCTGATCATTATAGGCGACAACTGATAACCGGAAATTCCGGTCTTCCAGCATCTCATCGAAGACATCGAGGTTTCCCAGCGGTAGACTGAGATACTGAATTCGAGTGCGAACGTCTAGTCGGACGATCAAAAAGTCTTCGGTGGTCCTTTCCAAAAAACCATCCAACTCATTCACATGTTTCTGTAGAATCTTCATGACTGAGACTTCGGATTTCGCCAGGCTCTTGGCTAGGAGATGAACTCCAAAGACCATTTGGGAAATTAATTTCCAAAAAGGATGATATCTGCATGGGTTAGTTCAGTCCGATCATCATACTTGACGGAGTATGAATTCTCACTTTTCAGAGGCCCTTTGGCGCCATTTTCGCCCACAAAGCCGCTCGTATTCATCATTCTCTAATAGATCGCGCCGCCGTGTTTGGGCGTCAATGTCAACGACCCATTTAGTTCCTGAGCCATCGGTTGTTTCGATAATTGATTCCTCAAACGGACCCTGGAGCTGAACAATGGGATGGGATGGGTAAGGACTGGATATCTTTTGGGTGACTGGTTGCTCGTCCTCAACATCCTCGGACGTGTGAACAGGAGGCTCCGGCGTAGAATCCATGATCTATCACACGCGCACGGTGTCCCAAGTATACAACGTAGACAGGTCTCCAAAGTCGAGGATTGCACACTTTAGATATAAGAAGTCCCAAGTTGCAAATTAGACCGCAATAGTTTTGAAGCTTTGATATACTGCAATGCCCTTATCCATTTATAAAATCACAATCGCAACCAGCCCAAAGTGGCTCATGATGAAGATGGGCTGGACTGGAGATGGCTGGTGTAATCATGCAAGGTATTACTTTATATCGGATTAGAAAGATAGAGAATCAATAGAAGTGGATCTGACTTACTCTGAATAATCGTGGGAAGTCTGAGAACAGTTTTCACCAGTGAAACACAGTTTACATGTAAATAGGGAGAGAATAAACGATGTTATGGCCCCTTTCAACAAAGAATATCGGAGAAGATGCCATGAGAGAAAATCACTACCTATGTTGTAGGTACTCCGTAACATAAATTCTTTTTGCCTAAATTTTAATCTTTTTTTTTTGGTCTTTGTTTATTATGGGGCTGTTATTACGTGGTAGGGGGGTTGACGCCCGTCTTTGTTCGGCATATTTCCACTTATTTCCCACTTGACACACGAAATTAGCCAATGACCATCCACCGATGCATCGTGGAAATGAATCAAATCAGCTGCAAGAGCTGGGCTGGGGACGATCTGGGAGTCTGAGACCACGGCACTTAATTTCGGATCAATGGCTTTTCCGGTTTTAGTTCCCAGGCCCTATAGAAGACCGTCTTCTTCTCCCCTTGCAAAGTACACACTGTGCAGGGTCATCCTTCAAATACCCATGGATTGTTAGGAGTGTGAAACATGGCAAATACAAAACTTGGCATGATGTGGGACATCAAGGCAGTTTGCGATAACCTTACTGTACCAAATTAAACTCTCGTAGTTATTTATAATCCTTGAGTTCTCAATCAAATAGGAAATGATATGCGGGAAGTCTGGCCATTCTAGTGAGATCGGCAACTCTAGAAGCAGTCCATTTTAGAACTCGATGACTACAAAATATCATACAATACAATTGTTTCGATTAAGTGAAGGCCTCAGGTTTCTACATAGGTTCCCATATGGTGCGGAAACTTCCACTTTGTATAGTACAAAAGCAACATATCACGTACATCAAATCATATATAGTTCTGTCATATTCTCATGCATTATGATTATCTATTGTACAAATGGAAATCAACATACTAACCATATATACGAAACCATATATAGTTCTGTCATGCTATCATACTAGGTACTGCTTCGTTTGCTTGCTTTGTCATCTATATGGGTATTTGATTGGTTTGCATTGGAGTAACATTATCCTCTCGGGGTTTTGTTTCCCCCACTTCTCCTTATCTCTCTTTCTCTCTCCATCTTTTATATTTTTTGAATTGACTGCACTCTTTATTTAAAGAACTGACACATAACGCGTCAGATAAGCTTTTGGTTCGTCGACTCTAAAATCCAATTCCAAGTCTATCGACTAGCCTGTTTTGCCCTGTTTTGGCCTTATATCCAAGAACCTTCCCACTTAGGAACGACTGGCTTTGCGGTAACGCTCCTTGGCATTGGCTTTCAGCTTGGCTGTGAGAGCCGCAACCGCGCTGGTGATGGAGCCAAGGTATATAAACATCGCTTATTGTGACTACAATCTACAGTCTAGTCCTCTATTCACGTCAAGTACATCGGCTTTTTCATATTTCGCAATAGCATGATCACAGTAACTACTTCACAGCCATGATTTTACTAACCTACTACTCATATCATTGATATGGCGGAAATTTTATATAGTAGCATGACTCTGGATGTTATCGATATTGCTACGGGTATTCAGGTGAGCACGGTTGTCTTGTTGATTCAATGACTACGTAGGTAGTATATAATATATATGATCGCGTGTGGATTGGCTGTTGATATACATGCAGCGAGCGGCGATCGTTTGGTTAATATAGGAATTCTGGAGTGCAGGTAATACCACGTTTATATGGCGCGATGTTATTCTCCTAAATCATCCATGGATATAGTATTTCACAAAGTCCCATAAACACAGCACGTCATAATCATTTTCTTTGCGAAAAAAAAAAACATCCTTGTCTCGTTGGAGCCTACGGAGTACAGCTCTTGGCAGCCAATTGAGATCCCTGCTCCTTTGTTGTTAAAGACACAACCAACAGGGTACAGCCTAGCGCAGTCGATCTTTTCCCTTCCACGCCCAACTCGGTCGAATGACTGAACTTCCAACAACTCCTAGTGGAGCTTTGACTCTTTTCCCCTCTTAACCGCGATGCTACCTCCCCCGGAGCTCCTACGGAGATCGATTAAATGCCCGGATTACCTTGCAGCTTTTTTCTCCGAATTGCGTGAACTCGTTATGCACATATGTAGTTTATTTCCCCTCTTCTGGGACTATAAGTATCCCCGCAAGTACCCCCTGTAACCTGTACTTCTCGTAACGGTGAAATAACCCATTATGCGTGTCTCCCATTGGATTCCATTACTCCCGGCTGTAGCGGCGCTTGCGGTGCCATCGGATGGCTTGGAGGGCTTGGAGGCCTTATTCCGCCGCCAGCTGCCCAAGCACCCAACAGACGTCAAGACTATCAAGACGGCTAATAATGTCACTATTCGCTATAAAGAGCCTGGAAAAGAGGGCGTTTGTGAAACTACCCCGGGTGTCAACTCTTATGCGGGTTATGTGGACCTATCGCCCACAGAGCACACTTTCTTCTGGTTTTTCGAGGCTCGCCATGACCCTGAAAATGCGCCAATCACCTTGTGGTTAAACGGTGGACCGGGTAGTGACTCTTTGATTGGATTGTTCGAGGAATTGGGTCCTTGTGGTGTCAACAAGAATAATGAATCTTATATCAACAAGAACTCGTGGAATGAGGTCTCAAATATGCTATTCCTCTCTCAGCCATTGGGTGTTGGTATGAAGATATTTCTATTCTCTTTCTAAACATCTGGCTAATATTATCATAGGTTTCTCCTACGCCGAGAAAGCCGCCGGCACCCTTAACCCTATCACAGGTGCATATGAAGACCCGTCCTTTGCAGGCATTGATGGCCGCTACCCGGTCATCAACGCCACCGCAATTGATACGACTGTTCTCGCTGCCAAAGCTACCTGGGAAGTCCTGCAGGGATTCCTAGGTGGTCTCCCCAAGCTGGACTCGAAGATCAAGTCCAAGAGCTTCAATTTGTGGACAGAAAGCTATGGAGGGTGAGTTCGCTCTAGTGCCTTTAAAATATATGTTGATGTATCCATTACTGACTTCTTTCAGACATTATGGCCCTGCCGTAAGTCGACTGCCTCTCTAACTCATATTCCATTCGCGAAAGTTCTAACACTGGCAGTTCTTCGATCACTTCTATGAGGAGAACCTTAAGATTGCCAACGGCACCCAGGATGGCATTCAACTCGACTTCAACACTTTGGGTATCATCAATGGTATCATCGATGAAGGAATTCAAGCCAAGTACTACCCTGAATTTGCCGTGAACAACAGCTATGGCATTAAGGCTGTAAGTCTTCAAAGGTACCACGATATAGTTTCACACTAACAAAGAATATAGATCAACGAGACAGTTTACAACTACATGAAATTCGCCAACGAAATGCCAAACGGCTGCCAGGATCAAATCGCATCTTGCAAACTCACAAACCGCACCTCGGTATCCGACCTCGCACTTTGCACCGAGGCAGCCAATATGTGCCGGGACAACGTCGGTATGTAGACCGTACCCATATACCCTGACTACATATAACATCTACCCAAGATCGCTAACAAAACCCGCTATCCAGAGAGCCCCTACTACGTCTTCAGCGGCCGAGGCACCTACGACATCCGTCATCCGAGCGACGACCCAACCCCAGAAGGCTACTACTCAAACTACCTCGCCAAAGACTCAGTAATGAACGCCCTAGGCGTCGACGTGAACTACACACAATCCAATAACGAAGTCTATTTCGCCTTCCAACAAACCGGCGACTTCGTCTGGCCCAACTTCCTTGAAGACCTAGAAGACATCCTCTCCCGCCCCGTCCGCGTCGCCCTCATCTACGGTGACGCAGACTACATCTGCAACTGGTTCGGTGGCGAGGCCATCTCCCTCGCGGCAAAGTACAAGCACAGCAAGCAATTCCAGAAGGCGGGCTATGAGCCCTTCCTCGTCGATGGTGTCGAGTATGGCGAAACGAGGGAGTACGGTAATTTCTCTTTCACCCGTGTCTATGAGGCTGGTCATGAGGTGCCGTACTATCAGCCAGAGGCTTCGTTGCAGCTGTTTAATCGTACGCTGAATGGGTGGGAATTGCCTAGGGGAGAGAAGAAGGTGAAGCATAATTCTGGCTCGACTGGGCCGAAGTCGGCGACTCATACACAGTCTTCCGTGCCGTTACCTACAGCCACGAAGGCTCCTAGGTTCGGTGAGTTATCGTGAAAGAGGTCCATGGGTGGACCTAACTGAATATTGATAATATTCAATAGCATTGTGGGTTGGGATATTACATTATGTACGCATTGAGATAGACTACTCCCCCATAACTATAGCAGACCTAAAGCATACCCCGAATGAGGGCCACTGGCATCCAGAGAGCAGAGCTAACCCAGATAATGTACAAGATCATTAAATAAAATGGAGTTGACTGACGTTGAGTATTTGTTGAATATGATCCTCACGGCCCCGTGGTGTAGTTGTGGGGATTTCGCGAGTATAAAAAAAGTCACACGCCTCGTAGACGCGGGTATTTCATCACACTGTAGTGAGAATAAAGGTGATTCAAGAAGGTGATTAAATCAAATATTGACCGCGTGGTGATACATATGATCGGCGAGGATTGTTGGGTCCCTCACCGGCAATTCATTATTTGGTGGTGGTCTCCTCGTGAGAGTCGCGGAGAGTCTCGGTAGGAGTGTGGTTTTCGGCATGAGGCTTATCCATATCAGACATTTCATTGGTATGGCCCAGGACCTCGGCGGCGGTTTCATCGGAGAATCGCAGATCGTCCTCAACGGCAGTGCTATCCTTGACCTTGAAGAAAATCACAGGTGAGGCAACAAGCATACTACCGACCAGCATACCCCAGCAAGAGGCGAATTCTGTCATGTATGAGGTCTCCTGTGCATCCAAGCTGAACGGATGTTAGTTACGGGAAAAGTAGAGAGGAAAAAAAAGCAGGGGTTGCTTACCTCCACATTCCGGCAGCGCCAGCAGACTGGATGCCCTTGTAGAAACCAGCAAAGTTGGCCAACTTGCGGCTGTTGTTGGAGAGAGAACCCATGTACCAATAAGTGCAGGTCTGGAAAGCGGCGTCGTAGAATCCGTAGAACATGTACAGGAACATAGGTCCAATGTAGCCACTATCGGTGAAATCCGTGCCGAGACCCTTGGTTTCTCTGGTATAACGCTTCTGGAATGCATACCCTCCACCCCAGATGGCCATGGTGATAGCGAGCAGAATGCCAAAGTTGAGCTTGGCGCGCCACGGACGCGAGAGGCCCTTCAAATCCAACAACTGGCCGAAGACGAACGCACCCACCATCTGCATCAGCCAGTACAGAAGACTGTTCAGGGCTCGAGTGCGAACATTGAAATACGCGAGATTGACTGCGTTGAAATGGTACGCGTAGAACCAGTTGCTGGCCAGAAACATGGGGAACATCAGGACAATGTACGAATCGTGGATCAGTGTCTCCCAAAGACCCAAAAACTCAGACTTCCAGGTTGGGTTCTTGATCACAATAACGCGCGAGCCGTCCTTGCGCTTGACGTGCTTGCAATCGACGAGACACCAACAGAGAACGGAGCCAATGGCCATCAGAACAAGGAAGGCAATGTAAGTGCCATTGTTGACGTTGCCGGAGGTCGAGTGCATATTTTGGCCGAGAGGGACCTGTTGATATTAGTATATTGTTTTGGTGAGATTCCAGGTGTGCAAGTGAACGTACCAAGCTACCAATGACACCACCCAAATTGAAAATCACCCAGAAGATAGCAATGTATTTTCCCTTCTCGTGTTCATGTGGATAACTCAACATGACCGCACCCTGAGCACACCATAGCAGACCAGCACATACACCGAGCAAGGCTCCGGCGAAAACGAGGAACCCTGCATTTTCGTTGATATTGTATGAGAGGAGCGAAGCAACGTAAAGGAAGTACCCGAACCCACCCAGGGAGAGGGTGAGTCGCAGACCAATGCGATTGGCAATGGAGCCGGCGAAGAAACCGACGACTGCAAAGGTACTGTATAGTGCAGTGTTGGCGTTGTTCACATCGTGGGTGTTGATTTGACCGCCGCCACCGAGACCGCTAACTGCATTGAACATTCCAGGACATAAAAAGCAGACAAATGATACCAGATATAGTTGCATCTCCGGTGAGGCAAAGTAAGGAGCCTCCCATTTGCCTATCTTGAATAGTGGCTTGTACATCCATGCAGGTCCTATCACCGCTTGGTCCACGCCTGACTCCGGGTCCTGCGGAGCAGACACCGACGTAGACATTGATGCATGTTGTTCTGTCGGCAGCTCTGCGTGCTTCTCGGCTTCTTGCTTCTCCGGCTCAGTCATGGTTGTAGGGAACAAGATCTACAGGGGCAAAAGCCAAAAAAAAATAAAAATTGTAGAAATCAACAAGCGAGTCAAGGGGCCCAAAGAATGTTCTCCACGTGAGAAACAAGCTGAAGAATGGTGAAGAATGTAGATACTAATCTCTTCGCCAAGGTAAACTCTGAAATAGGAAGAGGATTTTTTAGGACGAAGCTAAGGCTTTTTAGTAGACAAACTAATATAACCGAGTCACACGACTGTCTTATCTTAGGATCCATTTTTCTCAATGCGACATACACACGGTATAACCGATGTTGAGGGGAAGGTTGCGGGGATAAGAAAAGATGGAGTCATCATCTGGAGAAGGGAAATTAGAAAAGTGTCATAGTGACATATTATAATGAAAGGTGAGAGACGTTCATCCACTTTGCAATGCGACGAAGAGAGATGTTGCATTGAAGAAAAAGGAAACCCGCATGCGGAGTGTAGCATGCGGGGACTGGATACGGTTTTGTCAAAGCCGGTTATGGTAATTTACGGGCCGAGTATTAATATGTATGGAATATTACACTAGTACAATAGTACAATAGTACAGCAACTATGTACTATCGACTATGTACCTCCGTACTATACTATATTATTATTGTATACCACATCGGCATGCCGAATGTCACGCAGTCTACGGTTACATCATCGTACCTGGATCTTTATGTACTGGGATTTTCCCCCTCTTCTTCTATCTGTTTTCTTTCGAGCTACCTAACTTGATCTGATCTGATAGGAACATTTCCAATAAACAATGCCGGGTAAGACTTCTACCCCGCGCATTACCAAGTTCACCAACTGTCGCCTGGTGTGCGGCTTGAACTTGGTTGAGCAAGATCTCTGGATTGACTCTCTGACTGGAAAGATCCTGAAGGATCAAGAGGCTTTCTATGGATTGCACCTGTCCCCCGATGAGATCATCGACCTTGGTGGCCGTATCATTGCCCCGGGTATGATCGATGTCCAGTTGAACGGTGCTCATGGCTTTGATTTCTCCGTACCCTGTGAGACAAAGGAGAAATATGACGAGGGTTTGCACATGGTAAACCGTGGATTGGCCCGAACCGGTGTCACTTCCTACCTGCCGACACTCGTGAGCTCCACCCCCGAGGTGTACTGGAAGGTAAGCAACTCGAACTTCCCCCCACGAACCCCCCCCCACCAAAAAAGGTATTAATCTTCATTCTTCATTCTTTCAGGTACTCCCCTCCCTCGGCCCAACGGCAGCAACCCATACGCCCCAAGATGGCGCCGAGTCACTAGGCGCACACGCCGAAGGCCCCTTCATCAGCCCCGGCCGTAACGGCGTCCACAAGCCCGAAGTGCTGCGCGCCGCGGAAACCTTCGACGACCTCATCCACTGCTACGGCGCTGACAACATGGGCAGCGCCAGCCCAATCAAGATGATCACAGCCGCCCCCGAAGTGGGCAACATGATGGCCCACATTCCCGAAATCGCCAAGCGCAACATCATCTACGCAATCGGCCATTCCGACGCAACTTACGAGCAGGCTGTCGCAGCCACGCACAAGGGCGCCCGCATGATCACACACCTATTCAACGCCATGCGGCCCTTTTACCACCGCAACCCAGGTATCTTCGGTCTGCTGGGACAGAGTGAGCGCCGCAGGCCGTTTTACGGTGTTATCGCCGACGGCATCCATTTGCATCCCACTTCCATCAAGATCGCGTACAATGCGCACCCGGATGGGTTGATCTTGGTTACCGATGCTATGCGTCTGTGTGGTCTGCCTGACGGTGTCTATGAGTGGACGAATGGGGAGCGGATTGTTAAGACCGGTGCGCGGTTGACGCTGGAGGGCTCTGATAAGATTGCTGGGTCTTCAGCTACACTTATCGAGTGTGTTAACAACTTCCGTCGTTGGTCGGGTGCGTCGACGGCTGCGGCTATCAATGCTGTCACTGCTGCGCCGGCGCGTCTGCTTGGCTTGGAGGGTGTGAAGGGGTCGTTGGAAAGCGGTGCGGATGCCGATCTCATCGTGTTGGGTGAGATTGAGGATCCCTTCACTGGGCCGACCTTGACGGTTGATCAGGTGTGGAAGCTGGGTGCTAAGATCCACGACACTGACAAGGCTGCCGCTGTGACTGTATGAGGTGGTTTTCGATCTTGGATGCGATCTGTTTCTTTTTCGGGGTTCTTTGGTTTTCGTTATTCCAGTCATGTGTTCAACAGCTCTTTCATCTTGGTTACAGGCGTTTTGAGGTTGTGATTTCTGCATTGAACATAAAATGCAAGCGCATGGTCATAGCGCCAGCTCCATCTTCAGTGCGAATCTTTACTTAGATTTTTAATTCCCAAATTTTTCCAAAACTTATATTCGGATATCAAGTCTATCCATCATCAATTGTATATGTGGCAGATAAATAAAAGATCCAGGTCTGTCTCGCAGACTCTGGGGAGAACCAGACTCGGAAAGATGCCCACATTCAAAGGCGATCCTCCGCGCCCGACTCCGACGGAGCTATGCGCCGCTCGCTCATATGCTATAATAAAACCAAAATAGGACCAAAATGAAGAAATAACCTTTTTACATGCATATCAGATCTTTGACGCGTAAGAAGCCCCTGCTTTACAGACGGGGCTGGTTGCGAGACCAACCGGCCTCGCCAGCAATCAGCTCGGCGGCACGCTCACCAATGGTCAGGACCGTCAGCATAGGGTTAATGCTAGGCATGTCAGGGAAGACACCGGCATCGGCAATACGGATGCCCTTCAGGCCGCGGACCTTCAGCGTGGGGTCCACAACCGCCATTGGGTCGGTAGCAACGTTACCCATCTTGGTAGTACCAGCGGGGTGGTACACGGTGTGGGCGACACGACGGCCATACTCCGACAGCTCCTCGTCAGTCTGCACCTTAGGGCCGGGGGCAACCTCGCGCTTGATCCACTCCTTGAAGGGAGACTGCTTGGCAATCTCACGAGCGGCCTTGAGACCCGCCACGATGGTGGCGGCGTCATAGCCCTCGGGGTCGGTGAAGTAGCGGAAGTCCAGCGAGGGCTTCACGGAGGGGTCGGCGGAGGTCAAGAAGAGACGACCGCGGGAGCGGGGGCGGGGAATGTTGGGGGTCATGCAGAAGGCGTTCAAGGGCTCGTCGTAGCCGAGACGAGTGGTGTTAAGGGTGAACGGAATCTGGTAGCAGTGCATCATCACGTCGGCGATCTTGCCATCGAATCCGGCGGCATCGGGCAGCTCGCGGCGCAAGAAGATACCGGCGTCAGAGTCCATGGTGGTCATGTTATGATCCACGGGGCTGTTGAGCTCCCACATGATGATGCTCTCGGGGTGATCCAGCAGGTTCTCACCAACACCGGGGAGATCCTTCACAACGGGAATGCCGAGTGCGGACAGCTGCTCACGGGGACCAAGACCGGAGAGCATCATCAGACGAGGGGTGTCGACAGCTCCGGCACACAGAACGGTCTCCTTCTTGGCACGCAGAGTGTGCTTGACACCAGACTGCAGAGTAACGTCAACACCGGTCACGGTATCACCCTTAATGTTAATCTTGTTAACCCAAGCGTTGGTGAGAATGGTCAAGTTAGGACGCTTCTCATCACCACGGAGAATGGGGTGGATGTAGGCAACACTGGCACTGCTGCGGCGGCCATCATCGGGGTTGTAGGAGATGTTGAAGAAGCCGACACCCTCAGTCAGCTCACCGGTCTTGCGGATGTCATCGTTGAAGTTCTCAATGACAGGGATTTTCATGGCGCTAGAGCAGGCCTGGATCCAGTCCTTGCACAGCTGGTTACGGTGGCGGGCATGCACCGGCTGGACAGTGTTGCGCAGGTTATCAATGATGCGGGTGAAGGTCTCGAAGTCCCAGCCCTTGCAACCCTTGGACACCCATTGACGGCAATCATACTCGAAGGGACGGAAAGAGATGAGAGTGTTGTGGCTAGAGCAACCACCCAGGACCTTTGCACGGGAGTGGCGGATATGACTGTTACCTGCGGGGACAGTCAGCACAAGGTTATTTCCAAGGTTAGAATTTTTAAGGAAAATTGTGTCTTACCCATGGGCTGCTCGGTGGTACCGTAGTCGTAGTCAAGCTCACCTCCGAGCAGGCTGAGCCATTCCTTCAGGTTCAGAACGCGGTCGTCCATGAAATCACTGGGACCTCCCTCAATAACCAGAGTCCGCTTGTTAGGGAGGTACTCGGCGAGGCGTGCTGCGATCACACAGCCGGCGGTACCGCCGCCAACGACAATGTAGTCGTAGCTGTTAACATCGACGGCGGGGAGCTCGTTAGTGGTGGCCATGTTGAATACCGGGAGGAATAGGTAATGTCCGATGGGGTGAGGAGAAGATTGGAGAAGAAGGGACCGCCTTTTACTAAAAGAGAATTTTCAAGAAGGCTGTTCGGGGGGTGGTCTGATCGGAGAAAGGCCTTGGATCCAATTTCTGGTGATTGCCCAGCTTCCCTTCATTCTTCTTTTTTTTTTTTTTTTTTTTTTTTTCTTTTTACCGTTAGACTCGGCGAACCTTGGGGGCCTCTGAGTGGTGGCGATCGATAGAAGTGGAGAGAAGTCAGAAATGACCCGGATAATGAGGTCCACCGACTCTTAACGGCCTAGTATGTACATATCGGCATACTTCCTATATTCAAAGTGTGTCCGTTGATATGTGCAGATTAGAGAAAAGAGGAGGTCCATGATAGGAATTCCCTTCCGATGATAGGTTCAAGAAGATAGAGCGTACGTAAGTTTTCGCCTGTGCTTGGCTAAGAAATGCCATTCTTAGTATGAAATTCCCGGGGGGAGGGACTTTCGAGCCATAGAGAGCAAGTGGAAGAAGTTTAAGACGAATCTGGTCAAAGATAACCTAGTAACCCCGCGCAGAACTAATGTTCAGCCCATTTTCAAGCCACCTTCAGCCGCTGACCGGAATGGCGTACTTAGTACTTGGCTGTTACGTATTAATTATCCTAGGCAGCCGAGTACCGAGTACAACATACCTAATCAAAGGTGCGTTCAACATAATGTACATAACCGCCCCGCTTTTTTTTTCTTTTTCTTTTTACGGAGAAACCTATAAGGCGGTGTAGGTTATTCTTTCCCGAGGTCTCTATCACTTCTCTTATCTCTAGGTTTGTTCCCGTATTACCTTAAGGTACCTTAGTTATAATTCATATCATCATGTCCCTCTCATTCCCACCTCGTCAGCTCTATTACGACGGCAAGGCCCAAGCTGCGACCTCCGGCAAATCATTCCAGACTATCAATCCCGCCACTGCAACTCCGTTGGCCGATATCCAGATTGCCTCCAACGCGGATGTTGATGCCGCCATTGCTTCTGCCGATCGCGCATTCCCCTCGTGGGCGCAGACCCCGCTGATTGCTCGCGCCCGAATTCTCCACAAGGCCGCTGCTCTGTTACGGGAGCGGAACGATGAAATTGCACGCATCGAGACTTTGGATTCCGGCAAGGCCTTTACTGAGACTAGCACCGTCGACGTCACCACTGGCGCCGATGTTTTGGAGTACTATGCCAACTTCATTGGTGGAGGTGGTCTGAACGGCGAGACTACTCAACTCCGCGAGGATGCCTGGGTATACACTAAGAAGTCCCCGCTGGGTGTGTGTGCCGGCATTGGAGCTTGGAACTACCCCATCCAGATGTAAGTTCTTCAATCCTGCGTTTGCAACAGCAAAGAAAAAGAAGCTGACTTGGATATGTTTTAGTGCCCTTTGGAAATCCGCTGCCTGTTTGGCCGCCGGTAACACAATGATCTATAAACCAAGCGAATACACCCCACTTCACGGTCAGACTCTCGCAGAAATCTACTCCGAGGCCGGCCTCCCCGACGGTGTCTTCAACGTGATCAACGGTGCCGGTGATGTCGGTGCCTATCTGACTGGTCACCCACTCATCGCCAAGGTCTCCTTCACCGGCCAAGTGGCAACCGGTATGAAGGTCGCAGGCGCCGCCTCGGGCAGCATGAAATACGTGACAATGGAGCTAGGCGGCAAGAGCCCCTTGATTGTCTGCCCGGATGCTGAGTTGGAGAGCGCCGTCGATGGCGCCATGATGGCCAACTTCTACAGCACAGGTCAGGTCTGCACCAACGGCACCCGGGTTTTCGTTCCGCGCACCATGAAGACTGCTTTCGAGAAGAGCCTGCTCGAGAAAATCCAATATGTGCGGGCTGGCCCTCTCTTTGACGAGCAGACCAACTACGGTCCCCTCAGCTCCAAAGCCCACTACGACAAGGTCGTTGAATACATTCGCCACGGTATTGAGTCTGACCGCGCTACCCTGCTCTGTGGTGGTCTCGAGAAGCCCTCCGTGCCTAAGGATCTGCAGGCCGGTTTCTGGGTCCAGCCAACCGTTTTCACCGACTGCACTGACTCTATGAGAATCGTTAAAGAGGAGATCTTCGGTCCCGTTATGTCCATCCTGTATTATGACACCGTCGAGGAGGCCGTGCGACGCGCCAACACCACTGAGCTCGGTCTTGCTGCTGGTGTCTTCACTAAGGATTTGAACCAGGCTCACCGCGTCATTGACCAGCTGCAGGCTGGTATCACTTGGGTAAACACGTGGGGCGAGAGCCCTGCTGAGATGGCCGTCGGTGGCTGGAAGAAGAGCGGTCTGGGCGTGGAGAACGGTCGCCGCGGTATTGAGGCTTGGCTGCAGAACAAGAGCACTCTGGTTGATATGAGCGGTGCCGTGGTCAGTGTCTTCGCCAAGCTATAATGTTAATATATCATGCAATGTACCACCCAAAAGCAAGGAGCATAAGATGTACAGAACATAGAATAATTTGAGCGCCACAATTTTATTCTAGCTCTTTCTATATACTCATTCTATTACTCTGCCATCTATATGTATTTCCGTGCTGAAAGTCTACATAGAAAGGCCCCGACAAGGTTCCAGCACTCTTTAACGTATATATGTGGAATGACATCACGCTACGCAAGTACGTATAAATTTGAAAATTTAGATTAATTGTACATAGCTTGAATTATCCATAGTTAAAATCTTTGATAATATCACTTGACTCCTAGAAAACGCATCGCATCTATCAAATCGGGAATAATCGAAATGACCAGCGAAACTCCTTAGATAACACCCATGGATCCTGTAAGCTAAAGCAGTAAAAGAGACCATGCAAAGATGAATTGCAAAGACAGAACCCATATTTCCCGTTCTCCCATAACAAATTAAACCGAAAAGAGAAAATAAAACACCGAATGAAAATGCCACAAGTTCGAGAGGTCTCCACCATCAGAGTGTGGTAATTCTGGTGCCCATGCGGTCAAAGATAAGGTCGCTCTTCAGCGCACCATCAATACCGCCAATGGCCGAGTCGACCAGACGCGAGGACATGCTATCTGGGGTGAGCTCCTCTTCCTCCAGTGCGCGGCGTTGCAGCTCAGTGTTGATGCGGAGGTCCTTGGGCACCTTCTCGGGAGTGCGATCGGGAGTAGGCTGCTGGGACTTGGGTGTCTTAGTTGGTAGTGGGGCCGGGACGTAAGTCCGAGGACGGTAAACGAGAGCCGGTCCCTGGGTCCGGGCATCGGTGCCGGCCTGCTCGATCGATTCGAAGTACCGCACAGTCTTGACCTTGAGTTCGAGAGTGGCGTCACGATCGCAGACGATGAGCGGGTGCTGGTGCAGCTGCAGAGCGGAGAGGGTCCACATGTGGTTCACGCCATCCTCGAGGCCCTTTTGCACGGCAAAAGCCTTGTGGGCTCCGGTGGCTACAATCACCACTTCACGGGAATCCATGATAGTCTGAATGCCAACAGTCATAGCCATGCGGGGCACCTTGTCCGTGTCGCCGCCGAAGAAGCGGGAGTTTGCCAGGATGGTGTCGTAGGCCAGTGTCTTGACGCGCGTGCGGCTGTTCAGCGACGAGCCCGGCTCGTTGAAGGCGATGTGGCCGTCTGGTCCGACTCCGCCCAGGAAGAGCTCGATGCCACCGTAGCGGGCGATCCGTGCTTCGAATGATGCACACTCGGCTACAAGATCGGTCGCGGTGCCGTCCAGGATGTTAATGTTCTGCGGTGGGATGTCCACGTGGGAAAAGAAGTGCTTGTACATGAAGCTGTGGTAGGACTCGGGGTGATCGCGAGGCAGACCGACATATTCATCCTGTATTGGGGATCAGTTGGTTGATTTCTTCGTGATTGTTGTTGTGCATACCATGTTGAAAGTCACGACATTCTTGAAGGAGATCTCGCCGGCGCGATGACGCTGCACGAGGATCTTGTAGATGAGCTCAGGGCTGCTACCAGTAGGCAAACCAAGCACGAATGGCTGCTCGGGCGTCGGGTTGAAGGACTTGATGCGGCCTAAGATGGAAGAGTTAGTCTCAGCATGGGCTGTGCATAACAGCGCATCGATGATCTGGGCTTCGGCTTACTGATAATGTAGTCTGCGATATACACAGACACCTCACGAGAGTCTTCTCTGATAATGACACGCCTATATCGAGAAGCCAGCAGGTTAGTATAGAGCCAGAATGAGATATATGAAAGATATCACCCACATGATTACGTCACGACTCTTTGGATTGGAGATAGGGCTAAGAAGTATGGGAGAAGAAGAAAGGGAAGGAGAAAGCTATCTAAGGGAAAGAAAAGAGAAGATTAAGGGAAAAGGAACCATATGGGTTACAGTCTCGGGTGTACGACACAAAAAAATAACGTCGTATAGAGAGAGAGCCACGTGCGATACGGTTGCCTCCTCTATGACTGGGCCTAAGGTAGGGTAGGGTGTAGGGTTCTTTGGATTGGGTGACTTGGTTGACGTTCTACGGGTTACCGCATCTCGGACAGGGAAGATTCCACCTCAGATAGCTATTGACTTCATATCGGCCGATTCCACGGTTTCGATCAAAAGGTCCACTCGGGTGTGTTCCATGTGGCCCAACAATCAAACCAAGAGTACGATGACGCCGGAAAAAAAGGAAACAGGCAGTTTGATTGGAGTATGGAGCTCCATAGCGCACATGGTGGTCTGAAGGTTCCATTTGAGAAGTGTAGGAGTTGCATCCGGTGATGTCGGTAAAAAGCTGGAGAGCATACAGAGATATAGTGCTCAGTGCAACCCTGGACGTTGTAGCGTCGTAGCCCGGTATGGTATTGGTATTGGGGGCGTATGACACGTGACTGGGAATTGGATCCGGATTACAGTTACATACCGATCACGTGATTATCGTTTCGGGTGTACATACTAGTAGTATATATATCCATCGATGGATAGTATTATGATTATCAATAATCCATACTAGTATATATGAATTATGTACTTCATATTTACTTCTGAATATAAATCATACATAACTATATGTACATAATGTAGAATATGTCAAGGTCCCGTGACCCTTCTAACAGCGGAGAATCCATGGATACTAAGCTCACTATCTCCTTATCTCTCTAGTCCCAATTCTTCCCCGACATTTGCGGCTCTGGGGGAGACAAAGCTCCCGAGGTCCATTTTTTGACTCCTGCAACCCTTTTAACCCCCTGTCACCTGACTACGCGTGCACTGGCTTCATATTCCTTACCTGTCAGACGTTTGCGGTGTCCACACCTTGGATCTCCCGACACTGCACCCTCTGCATCCTACCTCTCTGGGCCGCTGCAGGCATTCCTCCTCGGGCCATGGCCCGGAAAGAGGACATGCTGCCCCCGGGTTGGGACGACCTAGATAGGTATGTCGATCTTCTTTTTCCGCTTGGCTCATCCCCTATCGGCGTTAATCTTCACCCCCCTTCCCCCTTTCCCAAAAAATCTGCCTGTCAGGGTATCTCCCTTCACTGTGGAACCTAACTGTCAATCTGGGGATGAGGGTCATTTAGACTATTTCCACTTTAGGAAATCTGACACCTCAGGTACGCTGACATGGCATAGGCAGATGGGTCAGCTCTTTATGATGGGCTTTGATGGAACTTCGGTCAATCCACAGATTCGATCACTCATTGAGAATTACCACCTGGGCGCCGTGCTGCTATCTGCTAAAAATCTGAAATGTATCTTTTAAAGGAGCCCTTCCATCACTAGCAACTTGGACAGTCACTGACGCGTTTACAGCGGCCGAGGATACAACCAGATTGGTTCTGGAATTACAGACCATTGCGCGTGATGCAGGCCATCCCGTTCCGTTACTAATTGCCTTGGACCAAGAGAATGGTGGTGTCAACAGTTTATATGATGAGATATATATTCGCCAATTCCCTAGTACCATGGGCATTGCAGCCACTGGGTCCAAAACTTTAGCCCACGAGGTGGCTGTCGCGACAGCACAGGAGCTCAAGGCCGTTGGGGTCAATTGGATATTAGGCCCCGTTTTGGATGTTTTGACGAATGTGCGAAATCAACCATTAGGCGTTCGTACCGCCGGCGATGATCCCCAAGAGGCGTCTCAATATGGTGTCCAGTTCATGAGGGGGTATCAAGAAGCAGGTTTAGTAACCTGTGGAAAACACTTTCCATCCTATGGTAATTTGGAATTTCTCGGTTCCCAGACGGATGTTCCAATTATTACGGAATCCCTGGAGCAACTCAGTCTTAGCGCGCTTGTACCCTTTCGCAACGCTATAAGTCAGGGCCTGGACGCCATGATGGTGGGCGGTGTCTCATTATCATCTGCTGGGATGAACGTGATGCACGCCTGCCTGAGTGATCAGGTGGTTGACGAGCTGTTGAGAAAGGATCTCCAATTTCAAGGGGTGGTCGTTTCCGAATGCTTGGAAATGGAGGCGCTCACACATAACATTGGAGTAGGAGGTGGCACAGTGATGGCGAAGAACGCCGGCTGCGATGTCATCCTTTTATGTCGTTCATTCCCGGTCCAGCAAGAAGCCATCAATGGGCTGAAACTCGGCGTGGAGAACGGTATCATCGGCCGTCAGCGAATTGAACAATCGTTGCGCCGCGTTTTGGATTTGAAGGCACGGTGTACTTCGTGGGAACAGGCACTGAACCCTCCGGGGCTTTCTTCACTTACACAGATGCAACCCTCGCACACCAACCTTTCCACCCGAGCCTACAACTCTTCCATCACAGTGATGAGAGATAAGAATAATTTACTTCCGTTGTCCAATGTCATCGAGGCAGACGAGGAACTTTTGCTTCTGACTCCGCTAGTCAAGCCACTCCCAACATCAGCGGTTTCTCTCTCGGTCGCAGAGTCTGCACATGGGTCACTAGATCCATTATCTTCCGAACGAACCTCCTCGATTCTGAGTGGGGAGGGTGTCTTCAAAGAACTTGGACGATCACTCTCGCGGCAGAGGAACGGGCGTGTGTTGCACACCTCCTATACTTCCAATGGCGTGCGTCCCATCCACGAAGATCTCATCCAAAGAGCGAGTGCTGTAGTCGTTGTCACGGCAGATGCAAATCGCAATCTATATCAGCAAGGGTTCTCAAAACACGTCTCCATGATGTGCCAATCGCAGTATACCTCATCTGGCGAACGCCGCGAGAGGCCATTGATTGTGGTGGCAGTTAGCTCGCCATATGATTTTGCCATGGATTCCTCAATCGGTACTTATATATGCACGTATGACTTTACGGAAACAGCCCTCCAGGCACTGGTCAAGGTCTTGTATGGCGACTTGACTCCCTCAGCGGCCCTGCCCGGCTCCATTGGTCGAACGCAGAAGATTCATCAGTCTCGACAGCACTGGCTTGTCGAAAATTGGAATGAGGATCGCGACTCTTTCGCGTTGGATGCTCTGCTCGACACTATCCGTGCCGATTGTGCACTAGGTCAACCATCAGAACTTCTTGGAGCCACCACTAGCAGCTTCCTGCTACGAAAGGAGGATATCGACGAAGCCCATTTCGTTGTTCGGAACAGTAGTACGCATGCCCTCTATGGGTTCTGCGCGACCTACTTCTTTCGGTCAACAGGCACCGGTGTGCTGGCATGTCTGATCGTGGATCCCTCTCGAAGAAAACTATCAATCGGACATTCTCTCCACAGCCGCGCGATTCGGACTCTACTACAACGGAGCGGGATGAAACGCTTCCAGCTAGGATCCCGATTACCAGGGATCTATCTTGGTATCCCGACCGTCAACCCTGTTGAGCGCAAGCGGCTACGGCAATGGTTCGCGGACATGGGTTGGAACACCGCGCTTTCGCGACCAGTGTGCAGCGTGATCCTGCGCAACCTGTCGACATGGGTGCCCCCCGAGGGACTCACTGCAACCCTGCAGAGTGCCGAGGTCACGTACGACCTCGTGTATGGCTGGGACTTTGCGCCCGCGATCCTCAATCACATTAAAACATATGCGCGGCAAGGGGTGGCCGACATCTACCGCATGGCTCTAGGCGGCGCGCCTAACTGCGGGATCATCCGGGCCAAGCGGCCCTCCGACGGGGTTATACTCGGGAGTATCGTGATCTACAATGAGCGATCTGCCTTGGCGGAGCACATGCCCGTGCTGCGCGCCACCCAGGCTTCTGTCGGAGGCATTTCGTCTCCGGTCATTTCTCCTTGTGAAGATTACTCTACGGTAATGCAGGGCCTGATCCTGTTGGCTATCAAGCAGATCCGGAAGTTGAGTGCCAATGCCGTGGTCATGGACTGTGTATGTTCTTCACTTCCTTTATGTTTCGTTTATCCTCTAACAAAACCTAGGTTGACGGCGACGGGAACTTTGACAATCTCTCCACGATGGGCTTCACTATGCTACACAGCTTTGAGGAAGTGAACTGTGACGCAGCTACGTGGACGATGATGCACGCGTAGTAGAAGAGACCAGACTTGATTCGATTTCCGCTTTTCATTTTCATTTTACTCCTTTCGGTTCTGTTTTCCTCACGTCTTATGATATCCATATCGCATTGGGTTTGGCATTTATTTTCTCCTGTTTTCTCTTTGTTTCTTTCTTCTTTTTTTCAATTGGATTTGGTCCATTTTCTTTGTTTCACACGCTCCGGTAACGGTTTCTTCCGAGGAGTTTCTTTTCACACATATTTTCTATTTTTTGATTCTTTGGGGGACTGGTCGGGGGTAGGACAGAGCCTTGGAAAGTCCTGGCATCATTTGGTCCAATCAAATAAATACTTCTATGATCACAGGGTTCCCACTGGCGATTACCAGAGATACACATCTGGATTATAGATGTGGAATATTCAAATGTTATGTATATCTTCTTTACAGATGGAATGAATCGGTCTACATCCATGGACCAAGGAAAAACCCGTGTATACTTCGTACCAATGTAGTCCGTTATGAGTTCCACACTTCCAAACTTCCGGGAGTATGTCCAAGATTAATTAAGCCTGTGGAAATATTAATTCTAATTACCTTTAGCCTTCAGAAGGCATCACAATTAAAGCCGAGATCTTACTGGACCGGAGGTCCGTTGGAGGTACCTAACTTGGCTATACTACTAGATTTATGTACTCCATATTCCGTACTATGCACACATCTAACTTCAGGGTTTTATGGGGGAAATTGTGGGAATTGTGGGAATTCTGGGAAGGGCTTAGAACGGAACTCCGCTTTGGCGCCGGAGACAAAAGTCAACCCACTTTTTTTTGGTCAAAAAGAATAAGAAATGAAAAACAGGGTCTCTGTTATGAGGGTAGTATTTTGTTTTTGTCTTAGTCTTGATTGTTCAAAATGTGACATTAGAAGGGAACTGGTATATAAAGAGGAACTATTCTCTCTCTTCCCAAGGTTGTGGGTTTCTATATAAAATCAAAGAATCGAAACCCCAAACGGGTTTCTCGGGCCTCGGGGCCTAACTTTGACCCGGGCCAATGAGTTTCATTTCAGAGTTTTGAACCAATTTAGTTTTCTGTTT